GGGGGGGGACAGGATTTAGGGGGTGCGGAATGATTTGTTGTTTTTGGACATTTCCAGTGGGGGGGGGGGGGGTGATGTTGGTGGTGACGATACCTTGAATCGACGGGGCCCCCGCCGTTTGTCCGCCTTTCGCGAGAGACATGGTGCAAGAGAATCGACTATAGTAAGTGCTGTTACAACTCATGAGGAGACCGGGCGATTATGGCGATGATCCGAAGTGGATTGCTTTGGTCTGTTTGGAGCGGACGACTTGTTGTCAAAAGCGCAGAGAGAATAGGCTGACCCCCAGGACCTTGATATGTAGCATTATTAGAGAGAGAGAGGTAAGAGCACCGCCCCCCAACTTCCCTACCACCACACACACGCATCACGTAAACCCCGGAATCCCTGTAGATCAGTATCGAGTGCATAGTACCCCTTGAACAGGGCCCCTCCGTGCCTAGCCAGGCCTCTTCATGTCGTGCTTTCTCTGCGAGTTGTGTTCGAAAATTTTCCTTCGATTGCCCCTCGCAATTTCAAGCAATGCGTTTGCGATGGGGGTGTTTTTGTTTGCCTGGCCCAGATGCCAAATGGCGGGAGATATTTTCCCGACCGCGCGTGGCCGGCCGCCTAACCCCTCATGACGGTCATCACGGGACGCTGGCTGTTGCTGGGCTGTTTTTTTTTTTGCCCTTTCTGTTGGTGCCGTTGGTGCTGTTGCCCTTGCTGTTGTTTTGTCTGTTGCTGCCACTGATGGCGTTGGTGTTGCTGCTTCCTTCATGCGTACAAAGAGTCCTGACCCATTCCCAAAACACGCCTACTTCCATTTTCCGAACGGTTCCGACCAGACAGAGGCGACTTCCCCGTGTCCTCGAACTATGTTAGCGCGAACACGGAACACATCACACTTTGGGTGTCATCACGCAGCTGTGCTCTATTTTCGTGCTCTCAATGGAATAATTGGACGAAGGATATGGTTTCATTGCGCGTGTTATTGCCGTTTAGGTATTTCCTGTTCTGCACCCTGGGTTCTGTTTAACGTTCTTCCCTTGTTGTTGTTGTTGTTGTTGAAGTTGTCTTCACATTCATAGCCGTTCCGGTCTCCGCTCAGTACCTTCTAATGTCTATACTATACTATACTATAACAGTACAACTGACGCGGACACCTTCCGTGGTCACAAGCCAACTACACCCGAAAAGGGGTACACTTTCTAGAGTTCTAAGCACGGATAAAAATATCTACTTGCGTTTTAGTTTTTGATTTGTTGTCTGCTGCTGCTGCTGTGTGGGGGAAATCGTCGATCCTATGGGTGACAGTTTATTTTATTTTCCTACAATGTGTGTGTGTGTGTGTGCTTTTTTTGGTGTGTTGTCTGCTGCTGCTGGCTTTGGTCGGCCGATCCAGGCCATCGACGAGCACGTGGACACGCGACGCAAGCGGCGCCGCGAGGAGGCTCAGGTGGAGGCGATGAAGAAGGAGCGGGAGGAACGCCCCAAGATCAGCGACCAGTTTGCGGACCTCAAGGTGCGAGACTTGCACGGCGTGACACGAGACGCGACTCCGTGCGATTTTTTTTTTAATGGCGGAGGTGATATACAATAGTCGGTCCGTGGGAGGCGTGTGGTGTGCTCTCTACTGGAATAAAACCGTGACGCCCAGCCCAAGCCGGTGCCTTTTGTGGATGAGATGGCGGAGATGATGCTTATTCCGCGGGAGGTGTATGATGTGGTCTCTGCTCGTGTAATACGTTGTGTGTCTTTTGGTCGACTAAAAAGGCTGGCCCATTAGACTGCGCAGTCAGCCTAAATGCTATATGACCCTTTTGACTACTCAGTCAGCGCGAGATGAGATGGCGAAGATATCATTCCGTGAGAGATGCATGTGCTCTCTACTGGTACCTAAAGCCGGGTGTTTCCTGTGTTGCAGTTTTCGGAACACCAATCGTGGCGCGTGTGCTTGGGCTGGCCGTCCCCTTGTTTTTTTTTTTTTTTGTCGATGTTCTTGGTTCTTGGTTCTTCTTGGGTTGTCCCCACGTCCCCACCCTCATTTTCGACACGTATCATTTCGTAGACGTGTACCCTCCGTGGTGGGTGCTTGAAACTGCTACCGCAAAAGGCGGAGAGAGGGCCGACTTCCAAAGCCCGATTGCTCAATACCCAAGCGGGTGTTTGAAGAACCCGATAAGAGTCGACGCAAAGCCCTGTACGAGATGTTCCCACGACCGTCATTTTTGGTGTTGACGTGTTGACACAACAATCTTGGTTGTGGGGCTATCGAGCTTTGAAAATCAGCCCGGGGGGGGGGTGCCACCTCTCCGCCTCTTTCGGTATATGCCCCTGAACCCACTGTCGTGTATGGGTTGTTGTCGGGGCTCGCAAAGTGGTGCTCGAGTTGTAATGGCGCGATGTTGAGCATGAAGTTCTTCTTGACGGCGGGGGTTCTTAAGTGCGCGCGCTATCTGTGTTTTGATCAACAGGGACACTTGGCAGGGGTTTCCCAGTCTGAGTGGGAGGCGATCCCCGACGTGGGGGACTACAGCCTCAAGTACAAGCAGAGCAAGCGCCGCGAGATTTTCACGCCCATGCCGGACCACGTGATCGAGGGGGCACGCAACGACGGGGCTGTGAGTGGTGTCGCTGTATTGCTGGTGTCGGGTGCTGTTGTTTGTTTGTGTTGTTGTTTGTTGTTGTTGTTGTTGATGATGATGATGATGATGATGATGTCCTTGTTTGTATCCACACAATACGGTGCTGCCTCTACCCAGTGTCACCTCCCTTGTAAGTCCGTGCTGGTCAGAGGAGGCAGTGTCCTTGCCGCACGCCAAACACGAAAACATGGTATGCTAGTATCGCAAGACCCTCAAATGGCTTCTGTTCGTGCGGTGGTGGTCAGATTCGTGCAAACCCTCGCGCCAATGTTCACAATGTTATGTCCATCCCTCACAACATGCTGTTAACGCGAGGGGGTCACCAGTGCCCACCGTAGATTCTTCGTGGAGCTCGTAAAAGGGACAGAGATGTAGAGTACAACGACAAGAACACTGTTTTCGATATCCCCACCCCCTCACCCCCCCCCGGTGTTTGCCAGAGGGGTTGGGTTTTCGTCGCTTGGCAGCGATGTTGTAAACCTAGCCAATCACTTCGTGAACTCGGCAACCAGGTTACCGCTTTTTTTTTTTTGCCTTTGGTCTTTTTTTTTTACGGTAACCATAATGAAAAAATTATTGTGTTTTTATTATTGCTCACGGAATGAGATGCAAATACCTACCCCCTTTTTGCCTTTAGGTTGTTGTTGGCGGTACCATAATGGTGGTCGAGTAGAATACGTTGTGCGGGGTCGAGAACCCTCACTCCGAGCAAGGGGGATGATCGCACCACGTTGTGTTAAATTGGTCAAGCACCCTCGAGGCAGTTACACAGCGCTTGCAACTTTGTCGCTGGAAGTGAAAGCACCAGAAAATAAATTAAGTCATACGCAGCTGTCATCCGTAGGCAAGGAAGTAGGCACAAGATGCCGAACACCCTTAGCAGGATGCAGCTCACCCTTCATGCGACTCGCCAAATACCTCACGGCGCTTCGCGCTTGGTGATGTGAGAGCCTGGTCCGGTGAGAACCCGGCGTGCTCCGTCCCGGCTCTGTAGGGATGCGAGGTCAATGGTCTAACGACTACGGCATGCACGACTATGAGTACACCCCCCCCTCCCTCTCTCGGGGCGAACCTCGCCACCAGAAGTCTTACGTCCATCGGCAAGCCACAGGTCGGTGAGATCCCGCCCTCCCTTCTCCTCCTTGTGAGTCGTAGCATAGGCCGGCGAAAACCGCCATATGTATCGCTCCGTCCCGCCATTGCAGAGATGCGAGGTCAATCGTCTAACGAGTGCGGCGCGCGTTTGCATGAGTACACGCCCCCCCCTGACTGCCCCGCGCTTGGGTTGGTTACGTTCGCCGCCACGTCAGGTTGTAGGGACGATGGACCCAGCTCTCGGCGGTGCTACCCCCGGCACGTCCACGACTAACATCTCCAGCCTGGGACATGCGCGAGGGACGGTGCTGGGGCTGAAGCTGGACAAGATGAGCGACAGCGTCACTGGACAGACGGCCGTCAACCCCAAGGGGTGAGACAGAAGAGAGAGAGAGAAAAAGAGAGAGAGAGAGAGAGGGAGAGAGAGAGAGAGAGAGAGAACAGAGGATAGAAAGAGGAACAGAAGGCGGTACACATCTTTGCCCAAGGGTAAGAAAGGCAGCGTTTTGTAGAGACGAAATACCCCCACACGGTACAGATGGGAGCACAACACGGTTGTGCACCAGTTTTTTAACGGCACCCAACCAATGAAGAGAGAACAACTCTCAGATCAGTTAATAGGGACGTCGGATACCACAGCCCTGACAGAATACCGTACGGGTAGTTGAAGCTCAATTTTTACTTCCGGTGTGTGATGTCTTGTGTCACTTGCGGTGGGAGGGCGAGAGATGAGATGAAGTGTGGTACTGACTTGCTTCGTCCGTTGTTCCGCCTCTGCCACCGCTGCTGCTGCTGCGGTGTGACTGTCACTGAATCGGTGTGGTACGCAGTTACCTGACGGACCTCAACTCCTTGAAGATTAGCAGCGATGCCGAAGTTGGGGACATCGAAAAGGTGAGAACACCACGCTACGCCACACCATCTCCGTCGATGAGACTTGAACGAGCACACTGCCGTCAAATCTGCGACAGGTAGTATTTGCGTCGAGACATGTCGATGCTCTCTACTGCGTCGTTGTTGCTGTTGTTGATGCCACGTTGTGAGGGGAATCTGCAACAGGTATATTTGCATGGAGACATGCCAATGTTCTCGAGCCGTTTGTTGTTGTTATTATTGTTGTTGTTGTTGTTCGACTTGGCTCGCTCTTGCGACATGTTCTCTTCGCACGGTCTCAGGTCATCTTTGACGATGATGTACACCTTACCGAGAACTCTTTTTCAGAGGTCTACATTTTTTTTTTTTCTTGTCTTCACTTCACTGATGCCTACTAAAAAACTCTAGTGAAAAATGGCGCGATCTGCAAAACCTACAAGCACGACACCCCCCTGAACCAACACCTCATGCAACCCGACCTACGCAACCACAACCCCCCCGCTTAGTAGAGCACCCCCCCCCTCTCCTTACTCTCCGCCCCTTGTCATTGATCGTCGAAACGTCTCCATGTGCTGCTGGGGTCCCTGCGTCCTTTCTTGTCTCTGGAAAACCCTTCCCTGCCACTTCGAAACCCTTCCCCTTCCATGTGCCACCAGGCGAGGCTTCTACTTAAGAGCGTTACGTCCACCAACCCCAAGCACGGGCCCGGTTGGATCGCGGCCGCGCGCGTGGAAGAGTTTGCCGGCAAGATCGTCCAGGCAAGGATAAGTTTGCTTGCCGGATGGGACGTGATCGTGACCACGGCCGGTGGTAGCCGTAGCGAGTCCATCCTCAACCTTATGTAGCCCTATATAGTCCTAACGCCAACCTGTGAAACTATTCTCGTGATGTCTAAATTTTCGCCCGTAGGACGATGAAGGCGGGTTGTTGCTGTTGTTGTTGTTGTTGTTGTCTTCACATTAGGGTTGCGAGGCATATTCGCTGATTCCTGGTTGCAGCCCTACATAGTCCGAAAGCCAACCGTACACCCCATGACGATTCCTTAACCTTTCACTAGGTCCGTAGCTCGTAGCCCTAGCGAGTTCATCCTCAAACCCATGCCTGGTCGCAGCCCCACACAGTCCGGGGGCCAACCGTGTACCCCGTGAAAAACCCTTCCCGCGATCGCTAGGCCCGCAAGACGATCAAGGCGGGTTGCGAGGCGTGTCCCGACAACGAGGACGTCTGGCTGGAGGGCGCCCGGCTGCAGACGCCGGAGAACGCGAAGACCGTTCTGGCGAACGCCATCAGGAACCTTCCCACGAGCGTCAAGATCTGGCTCAGGGCGGCGGAGCTAGAGACGACTAACGCATCCAAGAAGGTGACAGAGCGCCTTGATTTTTCATCAAGATTTACGTGGCGTGGCTTGTCAGTAGGGTGGTTGCTGGTACACCAGAAGTTTTGGGGGTCGATTCGAGTAATAGTTCGAGTGTTGGGGTTTGGTTCTCTGGGCGACCATCCTAGTTTTTGCCCTATTTTTTTTTTGCAGAATCAAACTGTGGCCCCCGTTGGTGCGTCCAGAATTGTACCGAAAACGTGTAAGGACCTACGTCCAGACACATGTAACTGCGTGCCAATTGCACTTGAACGCCCCAATCGTATCCTGAAACGATTGGCAACGTTATCCTTAGCATCCTTGTACGATGACGGAAGACGCTTTTTTTCCCCCGCTAATGTTATGCTCGGAGCGCTCTTGTCTCCCCTCGTCGAGAATTTTGTTTTGCGGAGGCAACTCCCACACCCCACCGAGAATGCAATATTCGTCGATGATCCCGGTCAAGCCTATGGGAAAGGACAATGAGCGCACGACCCCCCCCCCCCCTCCCGTTTTTCACAAACACCGCGCCGCCGTGAAGACATGGAAATAACCACAGCTCTAAAATTCGCCAAGACATGAGCAACAAATGAACCCACCCCCACATGAAGGAAGACACGAAATAGCCATGAATACTATACTTCGGAAGATGATTGCCAACACTTTGCGATTGGCGCCATGTTTTCCTTGCCCAGATGGCAATTGGCGGCGCCTTGTCCCCAAACCACCCGCCGCTGGCCGGCCGCCTAACCCCTCCGCATCAACCCGGGGCGCTGCCTGTTGCAATAGGCACAGTTGAGAAGATTGCCGGCACATGAACAACAAGTGACCCCCCGGCACGAAGATACGAAACAAACACAGTTTGGAAGGTTGCCAACGTGTGAGTTGTAGCACTTTGCGATTGGTGCCATGATTTCCTGGCCCAGATGGCATATGGCGCAGCCCTGTCCCCAAACAACCCGCCGCTGGCCGGCCGCCTCATCATCACGGGGCGCTGGCTGTCGTTACGCATTAAACGACTCGAAAACCTCTCCAACGGGTGTGAAGGTCTTTCTGTGTTTTTATGTATTAATGCTGTTTTTTACATATTGTAGGTGGTTCTTCGGCGAGCGCTGGAGTTCGTGCCCAACTCCGTGAAGCTCTGGAAGACGGCGATCGAGCTCGAGGGGGTGGAGGACGCCCTGATCATGCTCGGGAGGGCGGTGGAGTGCGTGCCGCACAGCGTGGACATGTGGCTCGCGCTGGCCCGCCTCGAGACATACGAGAACGCGCAGAAGGTTCTCAACAGGGTGAGCAGCAGCGGGAAGAGGTTTTTGTTGGCGGTTGTAGTGGTCAAAGGCGGAAGATTTTTCGTTGACGTTACTGTTGCTGCTGTTGCGGGTGCTGCCCCTGGTGCTGCTGCTGTTGTAGTGGTCAACAGGGCGAACAGCGGTATATTTGCACAGTATTGACGTTGTTCCTGCTTCTGCTGCTTTTGTTGTGGTGCGTGATGAGATTGGTGTGTGCGTTGATTACCTCATTGTAGCTGCGTTATCCTTTCCTCGTGATTCGGTGTTTGCTTCATTTGTTGGCAACGGTGCGCAGATACGGAATGGTTTTGATACACTTTTCACGGCACGGCATAAAGATCAGCATGACACAAGACGACACCACACGATGGCGTGACGTGATGCTGACAGGCCCGAGAGGCGATTCCTACGGAACCGGCGATCTGGATTACCGCGAGCAAGCTGGAGGAGGCCCAGGGGAAGCCGCACATGGTGGACAAGATCATCGAGATGGCGATCTCGTCCTTGAGACAGTTCCAGGCGAGAGAGCCAACGCTCGGACAAGATAGACTGCATGCGGTGGTGTTGTGGTGTTGTCGTTTCCTTTTTCCCATGTGTTTTTTTTTTTGTGTGTCCCCTCGTCGTTTGAAAGATGGGTGTCGTTGTCGATTTAACGATGATGAACTTCTGGTTGGTGGGATCGCCTTCGCGAGGGTAGCATTTTCATTAATTTTGAAATAGAGAAGTGGCTTTTCATATCCCCATCCCTATCCCTATCCCCCAAGCCACCCCGTACCCCCCACACTAAAGCTTACTTAAAAAATGTCCTCGCGAAGGGTACAGATTTTGTGCATCTCGTCGTTTCCTTGTCTCCTTGTGTTGTTTCCTGCGACACCTGGGTCGATGACGATGAACTCCTAGTTGTTAACTTCGGAAAAACACGAATCTCCCGACGCGTTGCTTGCCGTTCCAGGTGGTGATCGACCGAGAGCAGTGGATCAAGGAAGCCGAGGAGGCAGAGCAAGCGGATGCCCCCCTCACGTGCGGCGCGATCGTCCGCGCCACCGTGCACATCGGGGTGGAAGAGGAAGACAGGAAACGGTCAGTCGGCGGGACGCGGCAACTTTATCCTACCAAGACTAACTGCCTTTGTGAACTACATATCTAAAATAGTTTCCGTGTTGATGTTGGCGGTTTTACTACTGAAGGCATCACCCCCCCCCCCCCCCCCCCCCCCTTTTTTTGGCATCCCCCGGGGGGATTTTTTTTGTGGGGGGGGGGCCGGGGGAACACCCCCACGGGTTGCCCGCTTTCCCCAGGGGGATACCCCCTTGGGGGGCCCCCCCCCAAATGGGAAAAAACTCCTTGGGGGTTTTAAAAGGCCGCCCCCCCCTCTTTGGGGGGAAGGGAAAAAAAAGGGGCCTTTTGGGTTATTTTTTTCTTTTTCCCCCCCTTTTTTTTTGTGGGGAGGTCGAAA